ACAGAGGACAGGAAAGTGAAGACTGACGTGAATTGTCAAGCAAGAAACAGAGCTAGGTGGCAGTGGACAGCCCTGTCCTGGAATCTGCTCCACCTGGCCATTTCAGTGCTGCCTGCCTCAGTTTCCTTCCCTGCACAAGAGCTGACGAGCCTCGATGCACCCAGGACCTTTTCGCGGCAAGCGCCCTCTCAAAGTCTGAGATGTATAACCACCCTCCTTTACAAGCATCAGGGCTTTAAACTAAAGATTCAACAAACTCATAAAAGGCAGAGTCCGATTACAACAGGTATTGCCCAGGTGCCAGAGAGGCTCCAGAGCTCCCTCCTCAGAGGCTCTCTGTAGGAGGATCACAACATACCTCAGCAGGTATGAACAAACAGGACAACTCACCTGCTTTCTTGGAGCTTCAAGTCATTCTGCAGGACGGTGAGGTCTGTTTGGAAGTTGTTAATGTGCAGAGCCAATGCAATGACGTATGCTGTGATTTTAGCCTTCATTGATGCAGAGATTAAATTCTGGACACTGCATGGCAAGAGGGAGAACACATGAGATGTGGAGCGTCAGTGAAGCCAAAACACAACCCCATGAGCTGCAGGCAGAACTGGAGCCCCAGGTGGACATGATGATTCCTAAACACCAAAGAAGAGCTCAAAGCAACACAGACCTCTGATCACATAGGCCTAACAGGCTTCTCTGTTGTCCCGTTTCTGTTCAGAAGTGCAGGCCCCTGATGTTGTTTATTGCTATGCAGCCTTGACAAAGCCACTAACTAATGACACTTCAGCCTCTTTGGCATGCTGGTCCCTTGCAAGAGGAAAGCAAAGGAAAGCTGTTCTGAGGTCAGTCAGTGTAACTACTAATGGCACCTCAAGTACACAGTCCACATGAAGCAGATCCCTGGCTGGCGACCCTCTGGGAGCATTTGAGCCTTCAGCCAAAAGGTGGCCTGTTTGGACTCAAATTCTCTGTTCCTGTCATATTAACAGCAGCAGTGCAGCTGTGCAATAGCTGAGTATCAGCACTGCGCCCCTTCCAGGCAGAGAGGATGTTGGCTCCCCAAGTGTGGGGAAGGCACTGCAGCAAGCACGAGAATACTATTTACTGTTGCCTGTATTTTGGTGCTTCCACTCAACAGGATTTCTGAAAACGTTTATCCAGATTTACAACTGCTTAGTTGTAAGTGGCACCTGTCTGAAGGCTGCAGCCAAGGGCCACCTGATCAAAGACATCCCCCAACAGCTGCCTGAGGCCCTCCCTGCAGCGAGACAGCACACAGCACCACAGGAGTGGCTCTGACACTGCTGGAAAGGAGGACCTTGCAGCAGCTTCCCTGCCCCTGCTGGGTGGTGGCTTCTCCTGGCTGACCTCCATGGCAGGACCAGACCCTACCTTACTATAACAAACTTCATCACTGCTGGTGGGGCAGTGCCTGGGCAAGGCTTAGGCAGAACGCTCTGGCCTGAATCCATACGGGTGCAAGGGCATGGGACTCAGCCCAGCGCAAGTTAACCAGTGCAAATCCTTACACAGTTTTGTCTGTGCAGCTTTCAATAGAGAATCCAAAGAAGTTGTGCTTAGGTGCCTGTAAAAGCACCCCCGTTATGCTAATTAAACTATGCGAGCGCAAAAAAAGTACCATCATTTAGCCCCTGCACTACCTCTGTCCTGGCCCGCTCTGGGATGGCGGAAGAGCCGATGCATCCATCTGTCAGCTGCCTTGGTTCGCAGTGAAAACGCACGTGTGGACAGCTGCCTGCTCAGCTGCACGGCAAGCACCCATTCTGCCACCCTGCGCGCAGGAGCGGTCAGGCAGCTGGCTGGGCACCCCATTTGGTCACACTAGCTAAATCCACCAGTGCAGGCTTGCTTTTGCACATGTGGCCCTGCTTCTCCCAGTCACATTTTAGACCTGCACTGTACAAAATGGACAATCACCAGCCACGACCCAAGGTTCTACGGGGCTGGGCCTGTGAGGCAACATAAGCTACTGCTATCTCCCGTTTTGGTAGGAGGTTTTCTGATAACGTGTGCATGGCCCTTCAAGCTGAACTCCACCATATCTCTGCCTCGAGAACATCAAAGCAAACATAGCTCCTTACCTGCCGTTGTTGTAGGTCAGGGAAGTGAAATTCTTCATGAGTTTCTTGCTAATAACATGTGGGCATTCGGGACCCATTGGATCTAGGACAGAAAGGCATTTTGCAGTGGAATGAGAAACACACACTCTTTATTGTACTGCCCATCTCCAGCCATCATAAAGCACGTTTATTACCACAAACTTTATCGCCTCTTCCCAGAACCTAAAAGGAACCTAGGCACCTGATTTCTAGGTCTCATCATTTCTCAGGCCTGAGGGAGGCTCGTAACAGCTTTTCTTTTCTTTACAAACGGGATCCCCACTTCAATACTACACAACCTAAAATGCATGCATGTGTGCCTACGCATATATTTCTTTTAATAGATTCCTGCCTTTTAATAGATGGTCCTGTCACAAACTATGAAAACTGGAAACACCCCAACAGAATCCTACTAGCACCAAGACTAGTCATTTCCACATCCTCCTTGACTAGGTCCTACAGGGTGACTCCTGCGTCTCCAGCAATGCAGGAGGGTATTTACAGCCAGGCGTGCCACCTCCTCCTCTATCACTCCCCTGCCATTGAAAATGCTAACATGTCCTCTGACAAGGAGACTCAAAGGTCTTGAAAATCTCAACCAAAACATTTTGTGCAATGCTTTTGAGAACAGCAGTTCCTGCTGCTTTTTAAAAGTGAGATCCCTGAATACAACAGAGGTACAATCACTGTGATCCACACATTCAGCTAATAAGCAAAGGATGATGAAGACAGTCTCAAAAGCACAAAAAAGAAATAAAAAGGATGCATTGTGTGCTGTATGCCTCTTGCACCTGGAATACGGAGGCTGGATGAGGGAGAGAGCTGATAGTTTCCAGCCTCTTGTCTTAGGACGTGTGGAAATAGAAAACATGTTTGTAAGTACAGAACTATCAATAAACCAGAAACTATCTCTGAATTTCCAATCTAAGCTACGCTGTTTCCTACCAAGAGGACCTCACAGTGCCATCCTAATGCATGACAGTTACAAAGGGACTGAAAAGGATTAGCCATACATCATCCTAGCAGATGCAGATCTAACTACCCTCAACAACACGGAGATCCCCAACCTCAGCATGAAACAGGCTGAAAGCAACTGCTGAAGGTAGCTGTTTGATCACACAGCTCATTCTGGTCAGCTTTACTGTTTTCTACTGCAGTGATTACACCAAGTCTCAGCAGGTAGCTTAAAACATTCTGAAAACTTACGCTTCTTCTTGATCACTTTCAGGTAGCTGAACTTAATAAGGGTGTCGAGGAACCAGAGGCACCGGGCTTTATGATCTCTGCTCTTCTCATCAGCAGGCAGGAACTTCAGCTCCTCTAAAACAAAGGAGCAGTGGCTGAAGGAGAGAGGGGGGGAGGATGAGGCTCAAAGAACCAGGAACCAGTTTACATCACCAGGAAGACCAGACACACCTCTAACTTCCAACGCTCAGCTGTTTGAGAAGGGTTCCCTGGACACCTATAAAGGGTAGCCCCAGAGGCTGCTTTGTGAGCACACTTACCTGTCAATGCCCACCACGTTCAGCCAGCCCCTTCCAGTGCACAGCTACTAAGAAGGTCCCTGCACTGCAGAAACTGCAGGCTCTCAACACGGCACACAGACACACTTCTACTTCAGCACAGGCAGACGGGAAGCACAGGGAGGTGTGGTTTGTGCTTTTCCTGCTCATTTCTGCCCCTCAGCACAAGGCCTTAATAGCTCTAAGTGTACGTCCACGTCAGCTGGCCAAGCCACAGCAACCTTCACAGCAAGTCAGTTCTTGGCTGGGACAGTGCCCAGCCACAGGCATGCTCAGCATGGTTCTGTGGTCTGTATTCTAGACACCTGCCTTCAGACCCAGCTTTGGATTTCTCCACTCTCTTCCTCTGCAATCAGTTCCCCATGCGGCAGCCAGGCTGCTGTGCACACAACTTCCTCACCCGTACATAACGACACCCCACATTCCCCAAGGCAGGTGTTGTTCAGCCATGCCTGGACCAAATGTCCTCCTTCTGACTGAAAAGATCAGCCTGGCTGCAGTGGAGCTGGCAGCAGCAGCCATCCCGCCCCGCAAAAAACCCCACAGTTTCACAGGGCCCACCTCAACTATTCCAAGGCTGTTTGAGCAGCATTACCTTTTATCTTCTGTTTTCTTGGTGATTTCTTCTGGAGTGATGTTAACAAAGACTGCTGCTGGAACCCGCAATGCTTCATACTCTGCTGGGGACAGAACTGGAAGGAGTTTAAAGAAAAGAACAAGCGTGCCTTTGCTCTCCCTTCTGGTCTGAACAGCTCACACCAAGACAAGCTCTATCCACTCTGGCTTTAGGTGTTGGGCAGGGAAGTAGGGAAGGGAATTACAAGTGGGTAGGACCTAATGACAAGACTTGGAAGCTGGCCATTAACAAAGGTCTCTAAAGGACTGTGGCTTGATCACAAGTCACTTCTCCTGCATGGCTGACCCCGTTACTATTCCCAGTTGAAATGCCACCAACAGAGAAACACAGCAGCCTGCTCTCTGTACGAAAGAGGCAGGATATGGGACCTGCAGGCCCATAAAATCTCAACACGGCAGGTCTTTGCTCTCAGCTTTTGGCTTGTGAGGGAAGAAGACTCAGCTCATTCACTGGCGGCAGTCACTCCCACGTGCCAGCTCACTGGCATCAAGGCTTACAGGTGAAACCAGAGAGAAACCACTCTGCCACAGAAAAAGATACTGTCCTCAAACTTGTAAACATTTTCTGGTTTGTCAGCGTCTTCGTTACATTGGGGGAGGAAGACAGAGATGTTCTGTACATCATCTTGGGCCGCATCCTGGATTAAAGCTTTGGAGAGAAGCAGGAAAGAAGAGTATTTGGACCATGGAAACAAAAACACAGAGAACATGACCACAACCCAGATCCTTCCTTTAAACACAAATCTACTCAATGGTGGTTCTTGGGGCAACACCAGTTTAGTCACAACTGGAGCTTTAAGGGTTTAAAACTCCAGTTTATCTCACTTGGGACAGTAGTAAGGAAAAGGCTACAGCCTTTCCCTATTTTGTTTCATTACTGCCACAGGTAGGTGCTGACTGTGCAGAAAGCATTCCAGTAGGCACAGAAAAGGCCAACAGCTTCCAGTATGCCTGCTATGTATTCATCGTGCTGGGTTTTAGACTGTGTCATCACTTATACCAAGAGCTTGCTGCTCCTTAAAATTTAGAAAGGCCACTCCAGACTAGGGAAAAATCTGGGAAAGGAGTGCACTAGGACAAACTGGTCACTGCTACTGCGCCTCACGCCTGCAGGGTGGGCAGAATATGGTTTTGGCACCCTGGATTCCATTGGACATCCACTTAGCACAATGCAGCACCGAGAGCACAGTCAATATCCAACCTGGAACAGAAGAGATGAGAGCTGATGCGTTCTACAGTCAGACATCTCTCCCACTCATAGCCAATGGAACTCAGAATACCAGAAGTGCTGGTGAAAAGGAGCTCTGGAGGTCTCCTGTCCAACCCCCTGCTAGGAGTAGGACTGTCTACAACACTAGATCAGAGAAGCCCTGGCTTTGTCCTGCCAAAGCTTGGAAACCCCCAAGGATGGTGACTCCACACCTCTGTGACACCTTCCAGGGCTGCGCCACTCTCCAAGGCAAGAAGGTGCCCCCAGTCTCCCACCTGGACCTGCCAAGGTCCAGGGACCACTGCAACTTGTGTCGACCCTTGTTGCCACTGCTGAGAGGGGCTTGGCTCTGACTGCCCTTTGGGTATCTGTGGGCTGCTGTTAGACTCCCCCTTGGCCTCCTCTTTGCCAGACTAACCAAGCCCTGCTCCCTCTGCCTTTTCTTGCCAGTTGTGTGAACTCCAGGTCCCTGCCTGTTCTTGTTGTCCTGCCATGACTCCTCTGCCATTTCTCCACTTCCTTTTTGATGAGGGCAGGGGTGCAGGGGGATGGCACAGGCTGGACAACGTAATACAGATGCAGCCTCACCAGCACTCAGTAGCAGGGTTATCAACTCTCCTTGAAGCATCACCTCAGTGTGACACTTTGGAGAGTGAATGTCCCTTGCAGTAGTGACAATAACTAAGGCCATGGCAGACTCCTCTTTGCTGCAGGCTCCTCCATAGCAGAAGCCCAAGTCCATCAGCCTGGCTCACAACAGCACTGGGGAATGGCACTTGATGTGACCTGGTTTAGGGTCATTGGACCCTATGTGGACCATTTTCCACAGACATGCCACTGCAAAACCAGGGTCCAGTTCACCTTAATGAACGTTCAGCATTTCAGTTCAGACCAGGTGAACATACTGCCTTTATCCCAGCAAACTGATAGCCAGGGACTCCCAGAACAGCTCCCAACAGTGGGCAGGGATGGACACTGATGCCACAAGGATCTTCCCTCATTTAAGCGACTACCACACTAAGTCTGGCAGGATCAGAAGGAAGCAGTTCCTTTTCTACCACAAAGATCTGCCAGCTCCTCCACATATACCTGTCTCAGCTGCTAGACCGGCTGCTTCCTTGGTCACTCAAAGAAAACACCTATCTTCTTCCTACCATAGCTGGTGAGAAACAGACAGAAAAAGGCACTTCTGATTGCCTTCGTTAAACCCTGAGACAATATTCTTACCTGTTACTCCCTTTGCATCTATAACGTTTGCTGCTGCTTTTGTCACAGCTGTATTCAGAACATCATTGCCCACTGCATTCATTCGCCGAGAGTTCAGAGCTCGCTTCTGCTTGCTGGTACCAAAGGCCTCAATGCACAAATCCATCTGTGTAAGACAGATGTGAATTAAAACACGCTGCTGAACTGAAGACACTTTGCACCTAAGAGGAAAACTCAGCTAACCACCACTTGTTCCACATCCATGTTCTCCACGATTCAAACCTTTCACTGGGCACAACCCAACCATGCAACAAGCACTGATCTGCAAGTGGGTAGGAAGTAACTGGGACCGTAATCAAGCCTAAAATAATTATGAAAATACTGCCAAGTTAGGCACCAATAACACGCCGTCTCACAGACCTCCGAGGCACAGAGAGGGAGCTGTACCTGCAGAGGTTTACCCTGAAGTAAACCAAACCTCACATCTCAGAACAAGGATCATCTGCCACTGTTAGCTGGATAATCACAGTAGAATATGATAAGGGGTTTCAACTTTACCTTCTCCCTGTAGGATTTATTCTGATAATCCTTCGTGTCGTCAGGTATTAAGTTATCTATAAAAGAACAAAAGTTGGTACACTTGGCTTGCAGCAGCCAGGACAGCACATGCACTCAGTATCCCTTCAGCTCTAACCCATTACCAAAAGACTTTGCACATCACTTCAAGATTTCTTCCACAGAACTTTGTCAATTCAAGAACACACTGAATATGAGAGTATGTACCTAGACCAAAAAAGGAAAGGCAGGCCAAGTTTTGCTATAAAGCCCACGACCGTAACACTTAGACTGCAGCAATACCCAGGTCCTGCTGCACAGGGGAAAAACAAGCTCCCAAAAGACTGAATTCTTTGGGTTACCCTCCTGGGTTCAGTAACAAAAAGCAGTTCTGCTGAAGAAAAGCTGTTTTGTTTTCCAGTGATCCATTCCCTTGGCCTGACAATTTCTAGGCCTCCCTCAGCAGCATACCTAGACAAGGCTGCACTCACTCCAAACAGCGACAATTTTGTTACCGACTCCAGCACTTCCACCCTCCCACCTGTAACATTCTCTGCTTAACCTCCGCCCTAAATTTCACCTTGCGTCCTTCTCCCTCTGATTTTTAACATCACGCAGTGCCTTAGAAGGACAGCGTAATGACCCTCTTCCCTCCATGCTGAAGAAATAAGGCAGATATGAGGAAGAGCAGCCAGGCAGACAACAGAGAGCACTGCTGTCAGCAGCTAGGCAGTCAACAGCTGAATGCATACATAGGTCTAGCACGCTGCGACTCTGGTGCTGGGGTTAAACACGGTATCTTCCTACCTGACAACAAGGGCTGCATGTTGAATATTTCAGCATTATAGACTTCCATTTGCCCAGAGTCCTTGTCTAACACACCAATAAAATACCTGGGAAGAACAGGGGCAAGTGATTAGTGAGAAGACAGTCCAGTGGAAGCGATGCTTTAAAATACATGGTGCAGAACTACACGTATTCCCCATCCTCTGCCAATTCTTCTGCCTTGCAAATGCAAGTTTTCCAAGCACATTCAGAATGTCACAATAAAACAAGTTACCTCCAAGGCATGCACATATATATATATATATAAAAATATATAAAAGACTCATTGTTCTAAGTAAACATAGAAGTCTTAAGACACCTAAATTAGCTCCAAAATGCACAGACCAAGTCTTGGTGCTGCAGTGCTAGCTGCTACTTGCTTTTGTCTTTTTTTGATGTGTCAGGACCCTTGCTTTCTCACTGCTTCTACGCAGTTTCCCATGTTTTAAAGACTTGGGTTCCTTGTGGCCAGTTCTCTGCTTAGTTCATGCCACTTTAAGTCCTCGGAGCTTCTCAGAAATATGACTTCACTGCCTCTAAAATAGGATTTTTCTCAGGAGAAATCTCACATTTCAGAGGGGCAAGCACAAACGGTTTGTGCTGCTCCTCACCATGTCTCGTCGCCCCCCAGGAACAGGCTGTGTGTCACCCTTCCCTGAAGCTGATCAGGCTGTCAACTGCACTAGTTTCCTACCCAGCCAGAAGAGTCCATTCCATGTGACCCCATCTGACTGGTGCCTGAACTTGCTCTGCCCTGTAACACATCTTCCTAAGGACTCACTTTCTGAACATAAAACCCACTTGCACAACAGGCTGCCTGTTGAAGTGGGAGCAATATTCTCAAGGCAACTGCTCTCAGAGGAGCTGCCCGGGTACAGTGGGAATGACAGCACCTCACTGGCCAGAAAGAATTTCTGAGTAGCTCCTGCTGTCGCAGGAAGCCCAGAGGTTTGGTGGACTCATTGACTTTCCACTCAGCATAAACAGGTTTGTTTGCTCAGAGGTGGTTTCTGCTCCCTGTTACACCCACAACAGCAGCTGTGAGTGCACAGCTTTAGGCCAACAGCTGCCAAGAGCTACGGGAATGGATCTGCTGGAGGAAACCCTCATGCATGCAGCTGAAGCAGACGTAGGACAACAGGGACGGAAGGATGGCACGGGAAAATCTGAAAGAAAAGCAAGAAACCACTTAATTGATTCTTGCCTGCATCTCTGGAGATCCTGGGGCATGCACACATCTAATGCAAAAACTAATACTTGGAGCTGAACAAATACCAGCAGTTAGTCTTTCCTGTTAACTTCACAGCTCAGGATCTCCAGAGGTGCAGGCAAGAGCCACTTCAGCCACTAAAACCATCTCTTAATTAGTGTTCAGAGATAAGAGCACTACTTCTGCCTAGAAATAATACTGCACTGATACCTGTATCATATGTATTCATTAAATGAAATTTCTCTCTCCAAACTCAAGAAGAAAAAGCCCCTTGGTGCCTTTTTTTCAGCTACAGCATCTTAAACTAAAGACTGTTATACCTGAAGGTCCAGCTCTCCTGGTTTCACTTCTCCAAGAGAAGAACAAAGATTAGTATCAGCAAGGTTTGAAGGACTATTTGAAGAGGTGAAAGGAGTCCCTTTTAAAGAATAGGGTATTTCAGTGGGAAGGGACCTAGAACAATCATCTAGTCCACCTGCCTGATGACTTCAGGGCTGACCAAAAGCTAAAGCATGTTACGGGCATTATCCAAATGTGCCTTGAACACTGACAGCCTTGGGGCATTGACCACCTCTCCAAGAAGCCTGTTCCAGTGTCTGACCACCCTCTCGGTAAAGAAATGCTTCCTCATGTCAAGTCTGATTCAGAACATAGGACCACCAGGACACTCACATCTGAAAGCACTTCCTCTTCCTAGCAGTTTTACACAACTCTGCTCTTCACTCGCCCACCCCACCCATACTTTAACTAGTCAGGTCAGTGCAGTCCAATAAGAGGCGAGCTCTGTGAGCAAACCCACTGCAGTTGCCTTGTGTGATCTAGGAGCAGAGCACTTGGTACCAAGAGCCTGACATGCAAGTTACATGCATGCAATTCAGTGTTCTGTAGGCTGGCAGGACCAGCAATATGCATCAAAGGAGAAAAGAAACACCTTCGGGTATAACAAGACAAGATTGTCACATTGGCTCTCCAGCCATTTGGCGGTTCTTCTACTAGAGAACGAGAAAGATCTCACATACAGAATACTACTTAGGAGGCCAGTGGGATCTGCCCCAAGGCCACAAAGGTCATATTCTTAAACCAGGACAGGTAAAGGCTGGTGATTTCACCAACGCTTCCTTTCACAGTGTGTGGCACAGACAGTTTATGAGTTGGCACAGCAGCATCATGCTGTGGCCCACCGTTTAACTTCAATGGTGATTGGTGACCATGAGGTTTCCTGGACAGCAGAAGACAATCCTGACGATTTCTTAACCTTAATTTCTTTGTTTCTTAATAACAAAGCTGTTATTTTGAGGTTTCACCTACATCAAATCATGTCCTCACCCTTTCCTTCACAAGACCTTTTCAAATGCACTCTATTTGTACATAACATCACAACTTCCAAAGGGACGCAATGCGCACAAACAATGCAGTTGCCACATGTCAAAATCCTCTTGATTCAAATCACGGACTCTGTGGGAGCTTCTGAGCCAGCTTTAAGAAAGGCTACCAGGAACTTGGTGTCTGAGCAACTTCTCTGCTTCCGCCTCCACGCCCCTGCCCCCATTTTGCCTGCAACCTGTACCTGCATAGGGAGTTAGATTTCATAAGTCCACTGTCAAAGTTATTCCCCACATAGGAAAGCCTTTCAGTTTCTGAGACCTGGAAAACAAAAGAAAAATCACTTGAATACAGGGCTGTGAATAATCTTCTCTGCATCTGCTTTACTTTCCCTGGTGCCACAAAGCTCTACATTCCCAGGCATCAGGCACTAGTCATGCATTGGCAAACTTCACTGCCCATTCTGTGTACATTTTGCATCAGGTCAAAATGTTTGAAAAACAGACAATGTTTCCTGACACTGAAACTACTCACGATATATAATTCTATCTCAGCTTTCACTATGCTAGCAGATGAGGAACCACTACAAAGAAATCACGGGAATCACAATTTAAATTTAGTTTATCAGAGTAGAAACTTGGGTGTCACCACAGTTAAAATGCCTCACTGTGTTGACTACCATACTTCAACCCAGAAGCAACAGTTTGTGAAACAAACTGGGTTTACTCACAAAGTCACTAGTGAAGAGAGATCAGGCCTCTCTGCCAGTCAATGGGAGATACTATTTCCAGTGCCTTAGGGTCCTTAACACAGTTGCTCACAGCTTCCAGCCAGGACAAACCTTATAGTTTTCAGCCTGGGCAGAGCCACCACTACAAGTCAGGGGAACTTGGTTTAAAACGTAATTTTAAACAATCCATTTAAAGCCCTAGCACTGCCAAGTGACTGTAATCCACTGACTGAAAAAAAAAGAGCTATCAGGAATGGCTCAACCACCTAAATGTACTTCAGAATGTCTGTGTTTCTACTATACTGTAGTATATTTCCCCTGAGGATTTTGGCTAAAAAGTCATTTATTCCTTGAGTGAATCACGTGTGTAAGTAGCTGTAAAACTTAACAGTAGCAGCAGAAAGCACCTTCTGACTTTAATCTTGGTTCTCTCTTCACTGAAAGAAATAGAAATCTCCTTATAATGTAATTTAACAAGAACAAACCCAACTTTAGTAAAGAATGAACTGTGTTTGCTGTGTAAATATAACACAGCACATTTTGTGATCAAACCACAGACTGGTAGGAGTTGGAAGGGACCTCTGGAGATCACTTAGTTCAACCCTGCTGCTAAAGCAGGGTCACCTAAAATGGACTGACTAGTCATTAAGTAACAGCTTTTAACTTTGAAACATTATTTCCCCTTAGGTTATTAAAATAAACTATAAACACACACAACTTCAGTCAATCACCCTTCGCTTGAGAATACACAATGACATATCAATCAAAATTTTTCACATAAGTCTGTATTCAGTTCTGAAGGAAAGGTTACTAACTCTCACACGTCACTCAAAATGCCCCATATTGCATTATTCAGGTTCCTTTCTGTTCCAAGAGCCAACCTGTGATGCCAAGCCCGAGAGGGCATGGCACAGTCTGATCCTGACCGACTGTGCCCCGACACCCAGTGGGGCTGCAGGACCTGGACTCCAGGGTGCAAGGACACCTTGTGGGGCTCCGCAGAGGTGTGGGTAGCCCCAGCGGGGACCCTGGCTCCTGGCTCCCCAGCACCAGGCGCTCCTCAGGGCAAGTGAACAACTCTCCAAGTGAACGAAGCCGATCCCTGAACGTCAAGCGCTCCCCTGCTCTGCCACCTCCATCATGCCCACACCCATTGTGGCAGCAGCCCACGTAAGAACCAGAACTTCCTCTGAAATCCCAGAGATTTTGTGAAATTTAGAGAACGGTTCTCCCCCTCGCACAGGCTGGGGCTAAACTTTTTTTTTT